ACAGACTGTACCCAGGGGAGGCCACACCTAGTCTGTATGGTTTACCTAAAATCCACAAACAAGGTGTACCTTTAAGACCTATTGTTAGCATGATTAACTCTGTCACTTACAATGTTTCCAAATATCTGGCGTCTGTACTCATCCCTTTAGTTGGCAGCTCAGAACACCACATACAGAACACCATGGACTTTGTGGATAAGGTGAGGGATGTCATCATGGAGACTGATGAAACAATGGTCTCTTTTGATGTCACATCACTCTTTACGTGCATTCCTGTTGATGATGCAGTAGAGGTGGTCAGTTTAAAATTAAAATCAGACACCACTCTGAGCAGCAGGACCACGCTTTCCACAGAACAACTGTGTCAACTCTTGAAACTGTGCCTGCAGTCAACCTACTTCACATATGGGGAGCAATATTATAGGCAGAAACATGGGTGTGCTATGGGGTCTCCAGTTTCTCCTATTGTTGCCAACCTGTACATGGAGGAGGTAGAAAAGAGAGCCTTGACGTCCTTTTCAGGGACACCACCAAGTCTTTGGTTCAGGTATGTTGACGACACCTGGGTTAAAATTAAATCTCAGGAAGTCCAACATTTTACTGACCACATCAACTCTGTGGATAAATACATCAAGTTCACACGAGAAGATGTAAAAAATGGGAGGTTGGCTTTCTTGGACTGTGAGGTCTCAGTCTCTGATAGAGGACTTTTGCAAACCGAGGTGTACCGCAAACCCACCCACACAGACCAGTATTTGCAGTTTGACTCCCATCACCCTTTGGAGCACAAGTTAGGAGTCATCAGGACTCTGTATCACAGAGCAGACAGCATCCCCACTAACTCAGGAGCCAGGCAGAAGGAGAAACCCTACTAATATCAGCTCCTTTTTAACCAAACTGTACTCAGTACATTTGTTTAAAATGTAATTCAAGTTACATTATGTCATATTCCAACAAAAGTTAATTTTCTTAGCTGTTCAGCTATATTAGCATAATAGCTATTTTAGCTTCTAAACTTAAGTGGTATATTTTTATATGACTTTTACAGACTGAAATTAACACGAGCTATATTCTTCTTTGGTTAAAATGACTAAAATGAGCTTGTTTTTTAATCAGTTTTTTTTTTTTTTTTACATAAAGTGCCATTTTACAACAAAAGGTAGCTTGTAGAGTAACTTGTCCAAGTCTAATCCAGTTAATTTCACTTAAATGATCTCATTCTTATTCAATATATACATGTCTAAAGGTTTTCAACACTGTGGATCATGACATTTTATGTCATAAGCTCTCATAACTTGGTTTCTCAGAACACACCATTGGTTGGATCTCTAACTATCTTTTAGATCGGAGGCAATGTGTTCAACATAATGGTATTTTCTCCAGTTATTTAACAGTCAACAATGGTGTACCACAAGGCTCAGTCTTAGGAACCACCCTTTTTACAATCTACATAGGTAATGTAGGTCAGAGCATCCCTGATGCATCCTTACATCTCTATGCTGATGACACAGTTGTTTATTGTCGAACTAAAACAGTTGCTAAGGCTCTCCAGCTTTTGCAATCTGCGTTTGATATCATCCAGTCAGACTTGCTTAGTCTCAAACTTGTCCTAAACGCCAACAAAACCAAAGGGATGCTTTTTTCAAACAGGGAGTTGGTCCCAGCAGTTCTTCCTTTGGTTTTATCCTCGAATGGTGCCCCTATTGAGTTTGTCGATTCCTATAAATATTTGGGTATCTTGGTCGATTTGCATCTCTCTTTTAAGCCCCATGTTGAAAACTTGGTAAAGAAACTGAAAGTTAAACTGGGTTTCTTTTTCAGAAATAACTCTGAATGCTAGGAAATACCTTGTGACTGCAACTTTCCTTCCCTTCATTGACTATGGTGACATTATTTACATGACCACTCCTACAAGCACCCTGCAGATGTTGGATGCTGTCTATCATGGTGCGCTAAGATTCATAACTGGCCATAACCCATCACTACACCCTGTTTTCACTGGTTAACTGGAAATCATTAACTTCACGCAGACTCTCCCACTGGTACATTTTCATCTTTAAATCACTTCTTGGTCTGCTGCCTTCATACATCTCCTCCTACATGTCTCTGCGTGAGTGCAGCTACAGCGTGCACTCTCAGGACATTATTACCTGCAGTGTTCCGTCAGTGCGGACTGAACTAGACAAAAGGTCCTTCTCCTACTCCGCTCCTGCCTCCTGGAATATCTTACAAAAAGATCTGAAGCTCTCGACCTCGACCTCTCCAAGTGTTTTCAAACATCTGTTAAGTTCCTGGGAAAAAACCAATGCAGACATATTCCTGTTTTTAGTTACTTTTTATTTTTTTTTTACATTTTATTTTAAATACTATTTTATTTTCACTTGTTAAATAAATAAATAAAAAAATCTCAATTTGTACGCATCCTTTATAATTGTCTATTATTGTGTTTGTGTCCATCACTCGTTGTTAAAATCAGGTCTCTCTTGTCAATGAGTCCCTGAGGCTCAATGAGATTAACTTGTCTAAATAAAGGTTGAATGAATGAAAAAAAAAAAAAAAAAATCTCCCGAGTCACACTTGTTGACTGCGCTGGTTTTCTCCCAGCTCACCACCTGGGCCTTGAAACAACCTGTTGACGTTCAACGGGCGGTTTAAATCTCCCCCCTCCCGTGAACGCACCACTCGTCTAGATAAGGCGCGCGACGCCGACTGATCTACAGAGAGAGAACATCTGGCTCCAGCTGCTTCCCCGCACGCTGCGTCTTTAAGCTAACGCACGCGCGGATAAATTGGTCGCGGATCGTGTCGCTGTCCACCCGAACTGAGGTGCTGAAAAAAAAAAAAAAATCACAGCGCCGTTTCTTCGTCCTGCAGCTCTTCCTCCTCCTCCTCCTCCTCCCTTGCGCTCAGCTCCTATCGACACTTGCAGCCATTTTACGAATCCAATCATGTCGTGAGGCAGAGGCTGGCTGCTCCACCTGGGCAGAGGCAGCAGCACGAGCAGGAGGACAGGAGGAGGAGGAGGAGGAGGAGGAAGGGGCTCGGGCAAAATGGTGAAACGGAAAAGCCTGGACGAGAACGAGCCGGAGTGCGGGAAGGGAATACCGTTCCCCATCCAGACCTTCTTATGGAGACAGACCAGGTAATTGATAACAGGTGTTCGTCTTCATTGATCTGTGACTGGAGGCATGACGTCACACCTGTAAACAAGTAGGGCGCGTTAAACAGACTGACCTGATTGAGCACGTTTGAATAACATTTACTTATTTATTTTCAGCGCTTTCCTGCGTCCAAAGTTGGGGAAGCAGTATGAGGCGTCCTGTGTGGTGAGTCATTTCATTCTGGGCATGAAGAGGAGGTCAAATAATCTGTTTTTACCTTCGTGCGCTTTTAGCAAATTAGTTTTCCCCTGGAGCTATAAAGCCTTTTTTTTTTTTTTTTTTTATGTAAGCTCATAACCATAATGAGTCCAGCAGATCCCAGAGCAGGTCTGCTGCTGTCCCTCAGGTCTGCTTGGGGCCATGTGGGACATTTAGAGTCAAAGAAAGGCTGATGTGTCTGTTTTATTTATTTATTTATCTTCCTGGCTCTCTCCCCAGTCCTTTGAGCGGGTGCTGGTGGAGAACAAGCTGCACGGTCTGTCGCCAGCGCTGTCCGAGGCCATCCAGAGCATCTCCCGCTGGGAGCTGGTCCAGGCAGCCCTGCCCCATGTCCTCCACTGCACCTCCATCCTGCTGTCCAACAGGAACAAGCTCGGTGAGGAGAGCTTCTCTCATGGTCACCAGTGGTTCCCATTTCCTGCCCTGGTCCCTGAGGAACACCATCCTGCATGTTTTAGTCGTTTCCTCGCTCCAGCGCACCTGATTCAGTGATTTAATTACTTCCTCATGTTCCGCAGAAGCCTGTTAATCGCCCGTTAATTAAAATCAGGTGTGTCGGAGCAGAGAAACAACGAAAACACGCAGGATGGTGTTCCTCAAGGACCAGAGTTGGGAACCCCTGTTTTATACATCAACTAAAATTTAAAGGGGGAGCGTTCCTCCGATCAATGGATTCATTTTAGGTTGATTACCTTCAGCCATTTTGGTCAAACCTGCATGATCTGTTCGTGCTCAAGATGCGTGTTGAAGAGGACTCTCAGCAACTACCACTCCAAATTTTAGTTTGGTGTCTGTAAATCTGACTGAGCAGTAACCATTTTTTTCCCTAATGTCGATCAGCTGTGGCAATCATCTTGCATCAAGTCCACTATTAAACCAAATCATGTGTACATGCGCATCCAGTCAGTTTTGTTAACATCTGTCCTCTAGTTCATGAGATATTTTGCTAACAGACGTATGAACACATTCTCACAGACTCAGGCAATAACGTTGTCTCACAACTTTCACTTTTCAGGGAATGATTTAATTTCCTGGGTGATTCTGAACCATAAAATATTTCATTTTAGGGACATGATGGTGTCAAACAGGAACAAGCTCGATGAGGAGGCGTTGTTAGAGCTTCTCTCATTGTTACACTCATTCAGTACAACCAGTGGTTCCCAGCCCTGGTCCCTGAGGAACACCATTCTGCATGTTTTAGATGTTTCCCTGCTCCAACACACCTAATTCAGTGATTTAATTACTTTCTCATGTTCTGCAGAGGCCTGTTAATCAACCATTAATTAAAATCAGGTGTGTTGGAGCAGAGAAACAACGAAAACATGCAGGATGGTGTTCCTCAAGGACCAGAGTTGGGAAACCTTGCTTTATACAGCAACTAAAATTAAAATGAAAGGGCGAGCGGTCCTCTGATCAACGCTTTTGTTTTAGGTATGTTACATTCAGCCATTTTGATCAAACCTGCATGATTTTTTCGTGCACAAGATGCGTGTTGAAGAGGACTCTCAGCAACTACCGCTCCAAATTTTAGTTGGGTGTCTGTAAATCTGACTGAGCTGTAGCCATTTTTGTCTTTCCTAAAGTCGATTAGCTGTGGCAGCCATCTTGAAACAAGTCCACTATAAAACAAAATCAGTTGTAGGTGTGCTTTGTCCTCTGGTTCATGAGATATTTTGCTAACATACATGTATGAACACATTCTCACAGACTCGGGCAATAACATTGTCTCACAACTTTCACCTTTCTGGAAATGATTTAATCTCCGGGGTGATTCTGAACTATAAAATCTTTCGCTTTAAGGCCATAAATGAAAGAAAAGTAACTTTTTTTAATTTTTTTTAGAACACTATCTAAAAGGAGCTCAACAATGACAAAAATGTGCAGAACACTAGCTTAAATGTGCAGGACACTAGCTAAAAGGAGCAGGCTACTAGCTAAAAGGAGTAGGCTACTAGCTAAAATAAGCCATACACTGGCTAAAAAGATCTGAACACTGGCTAAAAGGAGCAGAACATTATCTAAAAGTAGTTGAACACTGGCTAAAAGAAACAGGACATTAGCTAAATGGAGCAGGCCTCTAGCTAAACGGAGCAGGACACTAGCTAAAAAAGAGCTGAGCAATGGCTAAAAGGAGCAGCACATTAGCTAAAATAAGTTATACACTGGCTAAAATGTTCTGAACACTTCCTAAAAGAAGCAGGACATTAGCTAAAAGGATCTGAACGCTGGTAAAAAAGGAGCAGGACATTAGCTAAAAAGATCTAAACGCTGGCTAAAAGGAGCAGGACATTAGCTAAAAGGATCTGAACAATGGCTAACAGGAGCAGGACATTAGCTAAAAGGATCTGAACAATGGCTAACAGGAGCAGGACATTAGCTGAAAGGAGCAAAACGCTAGCCAAAAGAAGTAGGATACTAGTTGAAAGGAGCAAAATGCCAGTAAAAGCTAAACAACACAACACTAGCTAATAGCCAAAAGTACCAAAATGCTAGTAAAAGCCAATAACATCAAAACACTAGCTTAAATTAGAAAAACACTAGCTAAAAGTTTAAAGTAGCAAAAGGCTAGCTAAATAAAAGTAAATATGCTGAAGCAGATTTGAAAGAGAACAATGTTTCTGTAGAACTTGAAGAGATCTCAGTGTATTTGGGGGGGGAAGGAATTTGTAAATAAAAAGTTAAATATTGTAGAAAAGTAACTAAAAGTCTCAGCACCCATCTGTTGAATAGGTTCAGCTTTATACCATACCATACCAATTTATTTATAGAGCACTTAAAACAGCAACAAGGCCAACCAAAGTGCTGTACAAAAGAACACAAACATGCACAGCGGACAGGAAAACATAAAATAGAAATACAGATACAAATAGCAGCAGAAGCTAACTAAAATGGCCAACAGTGTAGAGAACAGACCGGACCAAAACAAATCACACCGTGTTAAAGGCAAGAGAATAGAAGTGGGTCTTCAAGCGAGACTTAAAGACTGAGAGTGTGGGAGCCTGCCGGACACTGAGTGGCAACTCATTCCACAGTCGTGGACCTGCAACAGAGAAAGCCCTGTCACCTCTGAGCTTACGACGGGTTTCTGGGACTGAGAGAAGCATCTGGTCTGCTGACCTCAGAGAGCGCGGTGGGACATATGGCTGCAGAAGATCAGTGAGATAGGATGGGGCGGAACTGTTCAGTGATTTAAAAACATACATGAAAATTTTGAATTGGATCCGAAGGTGAATGGGTAGCCAGTGCAGGGAGGCCAAAACTGGCGTGATGTGCTCTCTATAGCCTGTACCAGTTAAAAATCGGGCTGCAGCATTTTGGACCAGTTGTAGACGAGCAATGGAGGACTGACTGATTCCAAACAGAAGTAAATTGCAGTAATCAAGCCTAGATGTTATGAAGGCGTGGATCACTGTCTCAAGGTTCTTTTTGGAGAATATAGGCTTCAGCTTAGACAGCCGTCTCAGCTGAAAAAAACAGGATTTGACCATCATGTTTACGTGACTGTTGAGTTTTAAGGACGGGTCCATTATCACCCCCAGATTAGTGACCTTTTGTTTCTCTAGCTAGCGGGGCTAGAGAAACAAAAGGTCAATGTCATGGTTCATGAGTGAGCCACTGGGACGGAACAGCATGACTTCAGACTTCTTCTCATTGAAGCTTAAGAAGTTTAAAGCCATCCAGTCCCGGATGTCAGCCAGGCAGTCAAGAAGAGGCTGAATAGAGCTTGTGCCTCTGTGCCTCAGGGGGAAGTAAATTTGGCAATCATCGGCATTTATGGTATATAATCAGCTAAAGCAGCACAAAATGTGCATAGTTAATTAGAAATACGTACAGAAAATAAAACTAACAGGAAATTATTTGAGTTTCAAATAACCTGTTAGACGACTTTCTTTCAGTGAAGTGGAACACTTGTAGTTTTTAGTTTTTATCATATTACAAAGCTATAAAAGAAGTCTAAAGATCTGGTCTCCATTCTGCCCCTTCCCTTAACCTTTGACCTCCAACAGGCCACCAGGACAAGCTTGGTGTGGCAGAGACCAAGCTGCTCCACACTCTGCACTGGATGCTCCTTGATGCCGCTCAGGAGTGCAATCATGAGCCCATCACGGGCCAAAGGTGGTCGCGGGGGGGCAGCGGCAGCAGCTCCTTCCTACAGCCCATGGGAAACCAGGGCTCCTCCCCGGTAGCCCCGGGCTTGGGCTCTGGCTCCGGCCTGGTGGGATCGGGGCCCCGCCAGGGCAGCTCCCTGCTGGAGGATGATGAGCACGCCCGGACTAAGCTGTTCCAGAAGAGCATGGCCACGGTGGAGCTGTTCGTGTTCCTGTTTGCTCCTCTCATCCACCGCATCAAGGTTTGTGCCAGTTTGATCTTTGCAACACAAACAACCGGGGCGACACTCCCCCCTGTTGCAGCAGGATTAATCTCTATTGCCATTTTAAGCACATATTGGGAGTTTAACAGCTCAATTTGGCTTTGTTTTCAAATATTGATCTGTACGCACACACCCGTATCACTCCGTCTATTGATCTGTGTGTCCAAACATCAAACGGTCTTGGTTACGACACCAAGAACTACGTTCTGTGACCCATAAATTACAGTGGCCATGACGAGGTGATGGTTTCTTTTCAGGAGTCGGACCTGACCTTCAGACTGGCCAGCGGGTTGGTAATATGGCAGCCAATGTGGGAGCACCGGCAGCCCGACATCCCGGCCTTCACCACCCTCATTAAACCCGTCAGAAACATTGTGACCGGTAAAAGACATCCTCATCCTCTGCTTTTTTTTAATCCACCATTTTTTTGTACCTTCATGATTAAAACAAAGTTCTTCTCGTTCCGACAGCAAAGAGGAACTCTCCAGTCACCAATCAGTGCAGTCCCTGTGGATCTGGCAACCCAAGTCCCATGGTGAGTGAGTGGCTGTGATGCTGAGTCAGCATTCACACTGTTGTTGTGTTTGGTTTTCTCCATTTGTTTTTGCTATAAAACAACTTTTGCATACTTTGTGCTATTTTACCACAGCTGCTTTAGCTTTTGGCTAATGTTTTACTGATTTTATTTTTAGCTACCACTCTGCTACTTTTGCTTTAAGCTACATTCTGCCACTTTAGCTTTTAGTTATGATTCTGCTTCTTTTAACTTGATCCTCCGTTGCACCACTTTTAGCTACTCTTTTAGCTTTAAACTAGATTTAGCTGAAATTAGCTTTAAGTTATAATTCTAGTACTTTCAGCTATTGCTTTTTTTTTTTTGCTTTTTAGTTGTAATTAAGCTACTTTTAGTTATAAGCTGTGTGCAGCCTCTTTTAGCTATTATTTTTGGACTTTCATTTTTAGCTTCCATTCTACTACTTTTACCCTTAAGCTACATTTAGCCACTTTAGCGTTTGGTTATCATTTTGCTGCTTTTAGTTTTTAGGTGTTTTTCTTCCACTTTTAGTTCTTAACTCTGTTCTGCCACTTTTAGCTACTGTTTTGATGCTTTTAGTTTTTAGCTTAAATATTTAAATTTAGTTCTTAGCTATCATTTTGCTGAAGTTAGCATTTAGTTATAAATCTACTATTTTTAGCTTAAAGTCACATTCTGCTTTTATTAGGTTTTAGCTTATTTTTTGCTAATTATAGCTATAGTTTTGCTAGTTTTAGCTTTAGTTTAGCTAATTATAGCTAAAGTTTTGCTAGTTTTAGCTTCTGTTTTGCTAATTATAGCTACAGTTTTGCTTGTTTTAGCTTCTATTTGCTAAGTATAGTTATGATTTTTAGCTATTTTTAGCTTCTGTTTTACTAATTATAGTTACAGTTTTGCTAGTTTCAGTATTTGTTTTGCTAATTATAGTTCATTTAGCTAGTTTTAGCTTTTTTTGCTAATTATAGTTAAGGTTTTGTCAGTTTCAGCATTTGTTTTGCTAATTATAGCTTCTTTTTTGCTAATTATAGCTACAGTTTTGCTAGTTTTAGATTATGTTTTGCTAATTATCTCTAGTTTTGCTAGTTTTAGCTTCTGTTTTGCTAATTATAGCTACAGATTTTTGCTAGTTTTAGCTTCTGTTTAGCTAATTATAGCTACAGTTTTGCTTGTTTTAGCTTCTATTTGCTAAG